ACGGGGTAGGGGCTCCCGGATGCCCCTCCGGGACAGACCAGCTGTCTGTGGAGGACTCTGAAGGTGCGTGGATATTCGTGGTGTTGGTGTCGGGTTTCCTGCTCATTGGCCTTGGAGGCTACCTGGCTTACCGGAAAATTAACGAGCTGTCGAGGAATATTGGCCTGATCCCGGAGCTCAGAGATGGTTTGCACCGCGCTGTGAATTCAGACTCACATAATTGTCGAGATGAATCGTAAGCTTGGAACTTTGGCCGAGATTCATTCTTTGGCACAAAGATGGATGCCATCAAGGATAGAGTGGACGAATCAGCACGGATTGGGATAGGTTAATGTCCATTATTGGGATTCTGAGAGGTTGAGGACCAACAAACTGTAAGACAGAGAGGAAATTATCTCTGTCTGGCCCCAAAACCATTTCTAATCAGAATCTGGCGTCCTTGAGCCTGCAAGGCTCCAACGAAAACTCCCCCCTCAGAAGATATGTGGAATGTGCCGTCGCTATGGAAACTCAACTCTGTCTCCTTTCCCAGCCTGTGGGAAGGCCGCTGAATCGTTCCAGGGTTACTGCAACCCTCCAGCCCTCAATGCTCCTCCCCCTATCCACACTGAGGTGACATGCGCTGCTTTTCGTGGCTGCAGGAACTGAAGTGTTGATAGTCCCAACCCACCACCCCACCTAGTGGACACTTATGTTGTGCTGTCTGAAGTCTGTTGCATATATGTTTGAGGTGTTTTATTTGCAGAGCACAGCTGCCCTCCTGGTGGAGGGCAACGCTGAAGTGCCTTTTTTTCCCTCCACCTGAACCAATCCTCATGTAACCCTCTGATCTCCATTAAGGTAGCGCGACTCAGGGTTGTGAATGACCACAGTCACCAATTCTTGTCATGTGTCTTGCCCATGTATGTCTGATCTCTGAATTGTGTGTACTGAAACTCTAATTTCCCCCTGGGATTAATAAAGTATCTTTGAATTGAATTGATTTGATGACATTTTCCCAAATCTGCAAAGCTCACTGGAAGGAGACAAAACGAGGACAATATTTTCCTGATATAGGCAGGGCCGTTGCTAGCTACTTTGGAGCCCTGAGCACAAAGGCTTAATGGTGCCCCCCCCCCCCCCCCCCTGCAGATAAAACAACACAATAACACAGTATGTGCAAGCGGTTCGCCTTAAATTCTCTTTAATTCTCTTGTATGCACAAACTGCTAATTATTTCCACAAAGCAGGATCGATATTTACATAATATAACACTAAACACTAAATGGCTGAAGTGAAAATAGTGAAAACAGAATTAAAGTTTTGTCGATTGCTAAAACACGTTTTTCAAAACTGCACACAAAAAACCCCAAACATCACGCACAGATTTCTAAACCCTGACATCCCTTTGTAAAAAACAACTCTGCCATCAAATCTCATAACATGTTCCCAAAATGGAACACGTGTTCTCATTTGGCAAACACAGCCATATTTTCACATGACGCACACATACCATTCATTGAATAAACACAAGTAGCTTTTGGCTTAACACTACCAAGCATGGAAAGAACACTGAAGAGCAAACTGAAAACATAATTAGAGAAATGGAACACACTGAATGCATGACAGTGCCCACTTCTCTCATGGACAAGCAGTAGACATTACACAAATTTTGAGACAAAACATTTTATTTTTATCAGCTGCTCAGACTCAGCCCAGCCCTTCTGAGTTAGCTTGCTCTATTGTAGTTTAGAAACATCTTCAGATGCGTAGAAAGTTGTCATTTAGACTTGTTCCTGGAACCAGCGGTCCACAGCGGTTCTGGAGGTCATGTCAGGGTGAGTGGGTTCATCCCAGCAGAGCCTCTGACTAAGCAGCCAGACTACTTCAGGTGATTCCTAGCATCCAGTGAAGACCCCGGGGTGCTGATGGATGTCACTGTGTTGGGGAAAACCCAATTATTATTATTATTGTTATTATTATTTGTCTGAAGCGTAAATGCTTTTGAATGGGGACAGCCAACAGACCACAGCAGCAATTTCCTGTTGACTCTGAGGCAATATTCCTGATATTTCCAACATTATGCAGCTTAAAGCAGGACATCTCCACAAATATGAGAGGAAGCAGACGGAGCTCCACTGTCGTCTCGGGGTTATGAGTCCATCTGGGTTGTCTGGACTGCCTCTGAAGAGGCTTTAACCGATTATTAGATCACACCAGGGGCACAGATAGGATTTTCAAACTGGGGGGGACAAAGTTCCAATGTACCCTCCCCCAAACACACACACACGTACACATACACAAGAGCCTTAACTAGAGCTCAGTTTGTGTAATTTCATCCAATGGTTTACGAAAAAACACTTTTATATAGCCTACATGTTTGAAGCCATTGTTCAATGGAACGCTGGCAACAAAGCTCTGCCTGATCAACACTATCCAAGTCAGTCATTTGTTATTCTCCCAATTAATTACTAACCAAATCCTCATGCTTTACGCAAAACATTAAATGATTTTCAGCATACCAATTTTTACAGAAAACATAAAAGCCCTAAAAAACTGCACATAAAATATATTTAAAAATGTACGAGATTACTATATTTTAATTAATGAGCCATAAGGCGTGGGATTCCATAGCAAATATAGAATCCACCTTACGGATCGAAGGGTTATTTAAACCAGAAGATGGGATCTTTTTATTGCAGGGATTAGGTAACCGTTACGTATTCACTCAGAGACAACAGAATAGAGAGAGTCGAGCCTAAAAGTTAAGAATTTTATTACTAACAATTTAAACTAGCCTGACTTTAAACTAAATGTATAGTGTAACTAAAAATGGATGAGGCGGTGAATGGATGACGTGTGATGTAAATCAGAACCAGCAAATCCGAAGAAGCGATTAGTTCTGACGGGAACTGAGGATGTTGTTTTGCATTAAGCTTTGGTTAGCTTCAGTAAAACATGAGACACCATTTGCCGGTCTACCTTTGCCTTCGGTGGAAGTCCTCTGTAGGTCAGGAATATCGAGGTCCAGTGAACCCTCTCTGGAAACCGAGCCGGTAGAAGAAGCCACGGTTCCGATCAGACCCGTCTCGAGTTACCTCCGGCATACGACACTTTATTGGCGTCTGTTCAGACCCAAGCCTGGGTCGGTGGAGCTTTTGTTCTGAAAGGAGCTGTTGTTGCCGCTGGTTGTTATAGCGACTGGATTTTTCAGCTTGTCGAGGTTCTTTCGGTTTAAGAGTAAAAGGTCAGGATTGGCCACTCCGTCGCTTGCTCTGGAACGCTTTGAACTGGCGTTAGAGCTGACGTGGCGTAGTTTTGTACCTCGGATGTTATTGTTTATTGTCGAATGAAAATTACCAAACACCGTCAGAAGCACGCCTCCGTCAGATCTGTAAGGTTCTGATTGGATCAGTGAAAGGAATGTGTTGTGTGCTTTTAACACGACGTGAAATGAGTCCTGTTGGAACACTTAAAGTCACAGTACCTTTATATTCTATAGGATTATAATAAAGTAATTAATATTTTGATTTCACAGGTCGGTCAGATGGTATTTGTTGACTAACACTTTGATGGATTAGCTTTATTAAAATAGAGTTCTTTGATTAATTAAAAGAAAAGAGTTCACTCTTCATTCTTCTGTTGAGCTGAAAATAAGCAGGTTAGAAGGAATGCATGAGACCTTGAGACTATCTCTCATGCAGATTAGTTCTGAGCAAAGAAGGGAAAAATAAGAGTCATTTCATTCCTTTACAAAAAACAACTTATAGGGTTGGCCATCGTTTGATTTTGAACGATTCCGGTTCCTATCGATTCCCGATTCCGATTCCTTGAAGACATGACACGCTTTACATGAGCCAGCTAACCACAGGTCCTACTTGATGAAATAATCTTAACCTCAACATGAATTTTAATTCTATGAACAACAACACCACCTTCATTTAGACAAAAACATGTTTTGGAGACTGTCACGTTGAGAGCAGGAGGTTTGGACCCAAGATGCAGAAAACCAGAACGCACAGGCAGGAGCGGTTGAAAAAGTAAAATCCTTTATTTAGGAAGATAACCAAAAATCCAAGGGGAGAAAGCAAAAACCTAAAAACTAAACTCAGACCAAAAACCAAAAGCTCACTTACTGAGCAGAGACCGGAGAGCGGAGAGCGGAGACCGGAGACAAAACAATGCTGACCTAAGACAATGAACGAACAAACAGAGTGACAACAAGGCTTATAAACACAGAGGGAGGTAATCAGGGAAACAGGTGACAGGTGTGAGGAGTGTGAGCTGAGGAGAAGCTCTGAAAAACGTTGATCACAATTTGCAGATCACGGATTCCTCTTCCGGTCGGCATTCTAGGAATCGAAATAAAAATCTTTGAACGATTCCGGGAAAAACTAACAGCTGGAACAGGTTCCAATCGATGCTCGATGCCCAACCCTACTATATTCACTTATCACTTAGAGCAGTGGTTCCCAAACTTTTCAGCCTGACCAACAGATGTTCCTTCGTATTGTTACGTTATTTAGAAAGTTTCATTACATTTGGAAAGTTTTAATTTATATATAAATATATAAATCTAGTTTTACATTTTATATTTTACTTATTTTTATGATTATGTGGCACACTTTGACTTCCATACGTAATGCATAGGCATCTGCCTCTTTTTCACAGATTTTACCATTTTACCGTTTAGATTTTGTTTTCTTTCTGGCCTTAGTGGGGAGACGGAACGGGGTCGATCTGAATCTGGGGGGACAGATCCCCCCCCCCACTCCATCCCCCCACCCTAACTGTGCGCCTGGATCACACTCAAAACCAGAACCCTGATTTAGGAGAAAGAACTGCTGCTAAATATGGACACAGACCCAGGACAGGCCTGGACACACACACATAAACACATGGACCGATAGAAACCATTAGATTGCGTTAGGAGTTTGTTGCCATGGTAACTAGCCCTGCCCATTTTAGTGTTATAAAGAGATGTGTGGTTATTAACTGTTGTTTCTGTCTGTCTCCTCTAGCGTGGGTGGGCTCTCTCTCCATGGGGATGATCTTCTTCTGCTCCCCCATCGTCAGCATCTTCACCGACATCCTGGGCTGCAGAGTGACAGCTGTGGGGGGGGCAGCTGTGGGCCTTGTTGGCCTGCTGGCCAGCTCCTTTGTTAAGTAAGGAAGCACTCCTTTTACTAGATGTGACTGTTATGCGAGCTAAGATACTTCTGGAACATCAATGTCTCATTAATGTGAGAGAGACACCTGTAACTCATACTCTCATCGGCATCATTTTAACCAGGGAGGCCGGGGACACGTCCCCAGCAATATTTATAACTGACAGATTTGTTCCCACTGAGGTTTATGGCTGACATTTCATTCCCTTTACATTCAGAAACCTATAGCAAGTGGTGCAAAAGTGGGTATGCACTGTTCACAAGGCATAGGGGCGCTATGCTGGACAGGGTGCCAAAGCACGTGGAAATAAATGTTGGTCTCAATTCATGCGCTTAATAACAGGTGTGTACGTTGTTGTTCGTGTTTCTGCAACCAATGAATCACAGAAACACTTCAGTGATTGATTCCCTCCACACACACACACACACACACACACACACACACACACACACACACACACACACACACACACACACACACCTCTGTCTCCGTGTCTGGTCGAAATTACAAAGCATTCAAAAACAATACCAGGCGTGACATTAAAGCAGAATCTTTGATGCTCCACCTGAGAGTTGTAATGATTTTAAATTACATGTTATTTAATGAGCCATAAGACATGAGATTCCATAGGAAATATGAAATCAATCTTATGGATCTGTGGGTACTGTTTAACCAGAAGACTGGAACTTTTTATTGCAGGGATTAGAAAACAGCTTCGTATTCACTCAGAGACAACAGAAGAGAGAGTCGAGTTTAAAAGTTTAAAGATTTATTACTAAACAAATTAAACTAGACTAACTTTAACACTAAATGTATGGTGTAACTAAGGTGAATGAGACGGTGAATGGTGTAGTGTGGAAAGACCCAGCAAATCCGAAGAAGCGATAAGTTCTGGTGGGAGTGAAGGTGATGTCTTCACGCTAAGCTTTGGTTAGGAGATTCATAAACACATTCGACGCCATTTGTCGGTCTACGTTCCCGTAGCGGAAGTCCCCGCTAGATCAGGAGGTGTAAAGGTCCAGCTTGACCTTATGGAGCCGGAGCCTGTAGAAGCAGCCGCGACAGCCGACCAAACATCTTGAGATACTTCCGGGTCGCAACAGTTTATTGGTATCTAGTGAGACCCAAAATGGGGTCGTGATGGTTCAGCTTTTATTCTGAAAGGAACCGTTGCAGCAGTTGGAACAGCCACAGATTTTATCCAGCTTGTCGTTGGTTCTTTTGTGCTGGAAAGAAAGCAGTTTATAGCAAACACATGAGACCTTGAGGCCATATCTCATGCAGACTAGTTCCGTGTCAGAGGAGTGTGTGTGTGTGTGTGTGTGGGGGGGGGGGGGGGTGACTTGTGGTGGATAACAGTCATTTCATTCTGTTACATATCCCCCCTTTTCAATGGTATGGTAGATTGTCACCAGCATCCAGACATCAGTTCTGTTTGCTTCACAGCCAGACAGGACATGGAAAAAACAAAAAAGTAAGATTGGCAACCACTGGCGTACACAACGCCCACAAGTGATAGAAAATGAGATAAAATAAGCCTAAATATTTTTTCAACAGCTTTGCTGTTAGAAATAAGCAGAAGCCTGCTTCAGTTGGACAATGTCAAATGCCAGATGTATGATTTATTAATAATAATTTTATTATTTAATTTTAAAGTATTGGATGTCTGTGAACATTTGAGCAAAAATATTCTGATAGTGTAAAGAATAGATTATTTCAGAGCAGAGAAGGTTCTGGGGGGTTCTCGTTGTAAAATAAATTATGACCCTTAGGGGGGTCTTGGAGGGTGCGTGGGAGTTTGCTCAACCAATCCATGTGTTTTGTGGATTTGGAGAAGGCATTCGACCGCGTCCCTCGGGGGGCCCTGTGGGGGGTACTTCGGGAGTATGCGGTACCACGCCCTCTGATATGGCCTGTTAGGTCCCTGTATGACCGGTGTCAGAGCTTGGTACACATTGCCGGCAGTAAGTCGGGCTCGTTCCCAGTGAGAGTTGGACTCCACCGAGGCTGCACTTTGTCACCGATTCTGTTCATAACCTTTATGGGCAGGATTCCTAGGTACATCCAAGGTGTTGAGGGGATCTGTTTTGGTGGCCTGAGGACCAGGTCTGTGCTTTTTGCAGATGATGTGGTCCTGTTGGCGTCATCAGAACGTGATCTCTTGCTTTCGCTGAAGTGGCTTACAGCCGAGTGTGAAGCAGCTGGGAAGAGAATCAGCTCCTCTAAATCTGAGACCATGGTCTTGAGTCGGAAAAGGGTAGAATTCCTTCTCCGGGTCAGGGATGAGGTCCTGCCCCAAGTGGAGGAGTTCAAGTATCTCGGGGTCTTGTTCACGAGCGAGGAAAAACTGGAGCGTTAGATCAATAGGCAGATTGGTGCTGCGTCTGCAGTGATGCGGGCGTTGTACCGGTCTGTCGTGGTGAAGAGGGAGCTGAGTCAGAAGGTGAAACTCTCCAATTACCATTCGATCTACGTTCCTACCCTCATCTACACCCACACCCTGGTTCCTCCATCTAAACAAGTGAAGAACCTGGGTGTGATTTTTGACTCTGAGCTGAATTTAATTTCTCACATTAGAAACATCACAAAAATAGGTTTTATCATCTAAAGAACATCACCAGAGTCTGCCCCATCCTCTCTCGGGCCAATACGGAGATGCTGATGCATACTTTTATCACCAGTAGAATAGACTACTGTGATGCCCTGTTTTCTGGTCTTCCCATAAAGAGCTTCTCAGGTTTACAACTCTTACAGAATTCAGCAGCACGTGTCCTGACGACGATCAGGAAGCGGGAGCACATCACTCCGGTTTTAGACTCATTGCCTTGGCTTCCTGTACGCTTCAGGATCAATTTTAAGGTTCATTTAATGTTAGTGTCTTAATGGTCTTGGGCCTTCTTACCTCTCAGAATTGATTTTACCTTACAAACCCTTGCGGCCTCTGTGCTCCTCTGGCAGCCGTCTTCTTGTGATTCCCAAAGTCAGGACGCACACCCAAGGTGAGGCATCCTTCCAGTATTACGGCCCTCGTCTCTGGAACAGGCTGCCAGAGGACCTCAGGGACGTAGACAACGTTCATGTTTTTAAGAGCAGGCTCTAGACTCACCTTTTTCACTTAGATTTTACTGATTATTATTTATGATTTACTTGCTTATATTTTAAGACAGTTTTGTTACATGCCTGTTTTCATATTGTTTTACTATTTTTACAATTATAATGATCACTATTTATTTAATTTTATGTTACCTCTTGTTATTTTATTCTATTACTTATTCTAATAGCTTACAAAATTTCCTCTGTGGGAGCCCTTTGCCTCAGGGTCGGTGGCAGTGGCATCAGTGCTCTCCAGGTAGTGGGGGCCCTCGCCCTCCCTCTTCTGGTCGCCCTGTGTCGGTGCCCTAGCTGCTGCTATTGGGACAAAAGGCTCCCCCTGATGGCGTTTCCTTACATACCTGACATCTGAGCTCAGCCCAGTGTTTACCTATGTTCTCAAGTGTGTCGTGTGTGCATGTGGGTATGTGTGTGTGCATATGTGTGTGTGTGTGTGTGTCACTTGAGAAAAGCAACGACCCTAAAAACAGATCCCTGAGGGACGTTCCATTTCAAAGGAGCGTTCTTTGATGCATAAGTGCCCACGGAGACACAAAATGACCTGTCTGATAGGATCTAATACACTGCAGGGTATCTCCAGTGAGCCCTACCCATTGTTCTAGGTCAGGGGTCGGCAACCTGTTCCCATCAAAGAGCCATTATTACCCGTTTCCTACAGTAAAGAAAACACTGGGAGCCACAGCAGCCGCGGCGTTGTGGGCGGGGCCTACTCTCAGACAGCAGAGAGCTGCTTTAACCAATCACAACAGGTGACAGCAGCAGGCACCGGTCGCTCATGTACGTCAAAGTTATCTTTCATAAGACGATAATCAATAAAACGATTTATATAAAGTGGATCCAGAAGTTGTAGCCCGTCTCTGCCTACAATATTTTGGTATTTTTCACCCTGTTGGTGGTTTTACTGAGCAGGTGCCACTTTTGTCATACGTTTCTTTTTAAAACATGTTTAGACTGTTCAGAATAGAAATCCAGGCTCTGTCACGTTTGGTTGTTGTAATTAAACTTTGTAGGTGGGGGAGGTCAGAAAAGGATCCGATCATTTTGTTTTCCCCTCGTTTACAGTGACGGAGATACCGGCGCAGTGCTCCTGACTCTGGTGGTAATCAAGTTAAATTATATCTCTTTGCAACAATTTTCACAAGAAAACAGAACAGTTAAAAGCAGGGCTTGTGTTGACCGGATAGTTCCCGTGTTTGACCGTTTATTTTGACGGAGAAAGAATAGAAAGAATTACCGACGCATGTAGACGAACTGACACTTTATCCGTTATGCACATCGCAGATGTAGCTAAATCACTCAAGAAATGATTCCCATCTGAACATCTGAGCTGGACACTGCTCAGTGCAGTTCACTATCAGCGTGTACTACATAAGGTGCACAGCGAGCTGAAGATGTGGAGAGGGGCTTGGAGCGCGTCGCAGAACCAGAGCGCATGCGGGAAGATTCCTCCGACTGAAGCGAGTCTTGTCACTTAGAAAATGTTCCTGATGATGAAACTTTGGCTGAATAGCGCTTGTTCCTGTCTCCAATGTGGCGACACATCCAGGAGCCGTCTGAGGAGAATCCCAGAATCTCACATCCTCGTCAGCTCAGGAAGCGCCTATGATTACGCACAAGCGTGACGCGTCAACCCGGTCTCACAGTAAGACCGGGTTGGACCTGTTCAGGTTTACGCAGACAATCTTTACATTTAGAATTAGCTTACAGATGTAAAATTAATGCAGTAAAATATAAAGCTTTTTATTTAAATATCCATTCATTATTTTACAAGCACAGAGAGCCGCATCAGATGGATGGAAGAGCCGCGGGTTGCCGACCCCTGAGCTAGGATATTACGGTCGCTCAAGAATGACAACAGTTGTTTGTAAACTACACTTTCAATCATC